GGCAGGAACCCTCGGAGATAATCCATCAAATATCTGAAACGGTTTGTTTCCTCTATAATTTTGGCTAAAATACCCCTGAAACTCTCTTTATGACTATCCAACGACGATGTCTAGTGCAGGTTTATCCAATGTACAAGGCTTTTATTGAACCTGATCTCAAGACTGCACATATAAAAATCATCAACAAATTTAATCCGTTTACTGGATTTCAGAGTCCTACATACATTCTAAAGGTAAGGATATTAGAAGTTCATACTACTTCTGGTTTCCAGTCATGGAAAATTACAGTGGTAAAAAACAAATTACATAATTAAAGTTATCAATAAATATTAAAACAAAGAAAAAGGGTTTATCTAATCACTTGTACCTTTAGTCTTCTAGGGATGTGCAAGTCGATCAAATCAAGTCTGCATTATCTGAAGAACACATTGAAAGTACGGAGCAAACTTACGACATATACCTTCTGCCACCTGGTGAAGATCCAGAGACATGCCAATCATATCTGAGGATGAGAAACAAAGATGGAAAATACAGTCTCATGTTTGAGGTTTGTCTCTTTGTATATTGATCAATACTTTTTGAGAAAATAATGGCCAACTGTTACAAAGTACCTTTGTTTGCTAGGCCATTTTGGCTTTACTATGTAGCCTACTGATGACAGTCTGTTATTCTCCCAATTAAACTTTTAATAGTCGTGTGCATATTACTATTCATTTTCTTGAAATACTTGAAAAATGTTTAAGCTTTTGGGGAACACCATTATCCTATAATGTTACCTGTATTTTTTATCTTGAAATAGTAGCAGGGGCTAAGGAATTTCCAAGTTAAAGCCTAATTCTAGAGTTAATAAAGTCAACCTGAGAAAAAGCTCTCAATGTATACCTGAATGGTTGATAAGAAATCCTCTTGGTTGGCTCAATATAGGAGACAATGAAAGAACGTCTATATTGCATGTAGGGGAAGTAAGATAGCTAGGTGCTTTTACTCAACTTGTGAAGCTTGCATCACAAACGTATCATGGACTTATATGGCTAGTCTTAGTCATGTAGCAAGATGAATTGCATCATGTGTTGAAGAAGCTATACCACTAAATCATTCTTAAATAACTCTGTTTCTTGTAGGGAAATGCCATATTACAACTCAATGTAGGTGGTGTAAGGATGATTTTTGTTTCATTCTTAACCTTATGTTTTCCTATAGTCGACGTCAAGTACCAACAGGAGGAATATCTTCCATTCACTCTCTTTTTTGTCTTTCTACAATTCGATATTCAGACAATTTCCTCTTGTTTTAGAATAAATTGAGATCTTGTAGAAGTTGAATTAATCAAATCTATAGAAGAAGCAGATAATAGTAGAGATCTTAAACTAAAATTATCCTGCCTGCTGTCCTACTATGAACATTGTAAAATCTTGAAATGTTGTGCATCTGGTAGCTTCAGTCTCTATTTTTTTTTTGGTCCTGATTCTTTCTTGGGATTATATCTTTTATTGAGAGACTTCAGGATTTAGTGGTCAATACAAGTATTTCCACTCCATGTTTATTTATTTTATTTTTTCATCTGGTGGTGCTTGGGTATATCAGCTTTTCTTGACCAGCTAATTTTCCTGGAAGTATGTGTACCTGTAAAGAGCTGCTTTACTGAAGTTCTGATGGTGACAACTTAAACTGGTTTTGAATTGCAGGAGTGGGTCACTGATTCTCCCTTTGTCATATCGCCAAGAATCAGTTTTGAAGTTAGTGTGAAGCTTCTTGGTGGATTGATGGCCTTGGGATACACGATTGCAACAATACTCAAAAGAAGTAGTCATGTATTTTCTGATGAAAAGGTTTGCGTGAAAATTGATTGGCTAGAGCAACTGAACCGGCATTATGTTCAGGTAGTAGACTTGTTTTACTCTCTCCTCCTTACTAAGATATTTACATGCTAAAATCTTGTCATTTCTGTTAACATCTGTTGGCAATGATGTTAAGCTAGAAAGCAATCATTGATAATTTGTTAAGGTCCTTTTGGTTTCAGTTTCTATTGCATGAATTATCAGAATCATTCTGTCATCAGGGAACCAATGCCTCACTAACAAATGATTGAATTCTTAAATTGGAAAGCTTGAAACTTGCATTGAGTTCTCAAGGCATGGCAGTTTATCTATTATCTCTAGTGGTTTCTGCATGATATGCCAATGATGGTCTAACTGCAATATCTTTAAATTGTTAACCCAAAGGAAATGTAAGCTGCGTATTTATTTCTCTTTTTATCTTGAAGAAGAGTAAAATCATTCATTTTATCAACTACGGAGAAGATAACTGCGGGGTGTGTTATTTTAAGACTTCAATGTCCACTGCATGAGAATTCTTCTCCTTGGTGATCCTTAATAATTCAGATTGACTGGTTGTCTCTTAGTATCAGGGTCCAGAATATTGTTTGAAACTTCTAATATGCTAGATTTTCTTAACTTTACCTAGGTCCAAGGAAGAGATCGCCTAATTGTAAAATCGGTTGCTGATCAGCTGGGACTGGAGGGTTCATACACTCCGCGTACATATATTGAGCAAATACAACTAGAGAAGCTTGTGAATGAAGTTATGGTATGCTAACTTCCATAGATTTTTTTCGTTACGTGCTATAATGGCTTTCTATCACTTACTAGATATATTGCAGGCACTACCAGATGATTTGAAAACGAAGCTTAGCTTAGATGAAGATCTCGTCTCCAGCCCAAAAGAAGCTCTCTCTCGAGCCTCAGCAGAGAGAGTAGCATGGAGAAATAAGAATTTAAGAAGGTACTTGTCTATCCATTTTTTTCCCTATTGACTAGTCTTGCATTAATTTTTTTGCATAAAAAATGGTGTCAAACAATGGATTTTATCAATAAGCTGAAAATATTTCTCCATGCCAATAATTACTTGTGGTTCAACGGCATTAATAGAAGGCTGCTTAGCTTTTTTTAACTGCTTCCAAACATTGTATTAATGGCAAATATCCTCCTCTAACAAGGAGGGAAAGCAAGAGGAGAGAGTCTTAGGTGAATACTGAGGAGTTTCATCAGCTCTAATTTGCATACAGCACACTTGATTAACCTATGGTTTGGACATACTAATGTGGCTGCAGGAGTTACGGGAGAAAAGAAATGAAGAAAAATGATAGTCTCACACTCTCACCGTAGTTGTATTCATGCATATTTTGATACACATGACCTTATGTCTATATGTGTCCGTGTGTCATTCTGTTTGATGTGTAGGTTGAATAGATTGCTCCTAGATATCGACTTGTTTGTTTAGTTCTTCAACTCCTTATTGATTTGTATATAAGCAAGTCATTAATCTTAAATTTGAAGTTTTTTGGAACTTGCATGGATCTCCATCCTTATTGGGAAAACCTCATGAGAGTGGTGTGGGGATGGGAGGGAACTGCAGCCTGCAGCGGAAGCGGATGAGATTCTATCTCGTCCAGGAAAAATTCTGTTGTCAAGTTGATTTGAACTTGATCTGCTTCTTTTTGTTTTTGCAGTGGATTGTCCCATTCCTACGCAAATCACAGAGAGAAAAATCTATCCAAGATTGATACTGATAGTCAGAGGTTTGATGACAGAAACACTGATTCAGCAACATTAGCAAACCAGGTTTTGCATTTAGCGACAATGAAATATATTTAAGCTCTTTTCACTATTTCATGGCACTTCTGGAGATTTACCCTTCATGTTTGTTGTCCTTGTTTCACAAAGGGAGCTGTTACACATTTATCGGAACAAATATCTACCTTGAATGATCGGATGGATGATTTTACATCTAAAATGGAAGAACTTAATTCCAAGTTAACCAAAAAAAGAGCTTCTCCGAGCACACAAAGTCTGGCTTTGCAAGCCGAAGCTTGTAATGGATCCGGCCCAACTTCTTACTTCATATCTGGTTTAGAAAATGGTTCCTTGACAGGATCCATTATGCCAAATTCATCATCCTCTTCTTTGCTAATTCCAAAGGAGTCCAATCTGATGGAAGAGGTACATATTTCACCAGGCTTTCGCCATGCAGACCTATGTTTAATCAATCATCTTCGTCTTCTTTTATTACTCTGATGGAACATATGAATATATAATCTTTTGACTTGTCAATTTGCACTACTTTCCATTACTGCAGAAAGTTAAATATCAAAAGATAACTAAGTTATTTCCCTTTGCATTGATCATCTTCGCAGCTATCTAATGTTGCACGTGGACAACGCCAAATTATGCATCAGTTAGACAGCCTTAGTAATCTTCTTCGCGACAGACTGGGAGAACAATCACGGCAAGCCAGAACAAGCAAGAGAAGAGATCTTAATTCGATCAGAGTACCTCTCATTGTGACCTTAGCAGTTAGTGGATTGGGGTTCTTTCTGTTTAAGAGCCGAAACTGATTCTGCTTCCTGATGTAAAAACTATGCTCCTATACTTTTTTCTTTCAATTTCATTAGCCCCATACAAGTAGTATTTTGCCTATGTTCGATCGGAGTAGAGGTAGACTATTGTTCATGTGTTTTGGGTCAAGGAGGGCAGGTTTATGCTTTCCATTCCCAGTTGAGCTTTGTCAAACAAGGCAGCAAGTTGTGGGGTTTCTTTGATTAAAACTCTCTTTTCAATACATATTTTACAAGTTAAATTGCAAGTTTCCCTTTGCCTGATGGAATGAAGGGATATTGGAAGCATTCTCTCCTTTTGATTTTCCATCCGATACTTCGAGATAATCCTGAATTCATGTTTTCTAAAAGCCGAGTTTAAATAGAGTCGATCACACATTTTACAAAATTTATATAGACTAATACACATGACAAGTTGAAAAAAATGATGACACAAAATTTGAGCTCCAATTGAGTCGATCACATATATTTTAAAAATTAATGGACGAATACACATGAAAAGTTAAGATAATCCTATAAATTCGACCCATAAACTCCAAAAAAGTGATGATTGTCCTTGAAAAATAATGAGTATCATTTTCTAGCTCGTCAAGAATATACTCACAAACAGAGTTGGTCACACATATTCTAAGAAATTCATGGACTATACACACGAAAAGTCTAGATAATCATAAATTTCTTGACAGAAGTGAGTCCAAGAGAACTTCATATTTTAATAACATATTATGCAACAGATAAGTCAAATCATCTACACAGATTCACTAATCTTCCCAAAACTGATGTTCAGAGTACTATCTAGCTATTCACATAAACTTGCAAAATATTTGTGCCAAACATCATGGTCCGATTATAGACTCCTGAAGAAGATCAATAAACAGGACTGTAATCATGTACTAGTTTTCGATGAAGGACACCTCTGCTTTAGGTGATGCACGCTGAAATGTTGTTAACTCAGCAGCGAGTTTTTTGACTGCAGCAGATGCTTTAACTACACACGACGCGAAGAGCATTCTCACTAGCATGGGAGAATTAGCTAACAGAAGTTTGGCAAGCTGCATCTCGATGATTGAGCCACTAGCAAGTGTTAGCCTAACTTCCCTTAGGTGATTAAACGTCACATCCGAGGTACATTCTACTTGATAAGCTTCTTCTATATCATATTTAGGATAAGCCTCCTAAAGAAAAAATAACAAAACTCAATTCTCTGAACTTTTTGATGATTCAAGTATGAAAATGACAAGGCCAATAAGAAAGAGAGAGAAGCGTACCGAAATATCCATATATTGTAAATACGGGAAGCTTCTTATCAAGCAAAGAGCACATGACACCTCAACCGAGTTATAAAGATCAACACTTATGTCAAGTCTTTTGACACTGTTAAGATTAAAAGGAAGCCTCATTGGTACTTCACTCGCTTCTGCAGCAAATATCTATAAAGAAAATATTAAAAAATCAGGATGAAACGAAGCCGAAAAGATTCAAAATGTGTTACAATGAAGTCAGGAAGCAACATTTACCATATTCAAGTATATATGCTCGAGAGCAGAAAAAGATTCAAACGACTCGAAAAACTTCACAATATCCCATTTTTCTTCCCCGAAATAATCTGTGTCGCTAGATGCAAGTAAAAGTTTTGCCAGAAGAGGGATATTCTTTAAAAAGATAGATCTTACACTGCCTGCGAAGTAAAATGATTTCAGCATGGGAGCATTAATTTCAATGAGGTTGCTGTAAGTCTCGGCAATATACAACACCAAATGCTCGAGCAACAAGCAATGAGAGATTAAACTTCCTAGCTCCTCGGAAGAAATTGAAACTTCACATAGTTCCAACCTAATTAACCTATCAAGTCCTTTGAAGGTCGGTGGACGAAGTATTAAGCAATTCTGGAGATTCAAATTCCTCAACTGCAAGCTTTTGAAAAATGAAGGTGGCAATTCGTATGGTTCACTCTTGAATGGAAGTTTAAGCACAAGATCCCGAATGCCATTTTTCGCGAGGAAATATATCAAGTCATCGATCATAGGACAACTTCTCGACTTAGGAACACAGAGTGTAAACTTTGTAATCGGTCCTTCATGAAATATCAAAATATGGTAGATAATCTTGGTAATCGCAGTCGTATGGCATATTAAGTTATTCTTAGTTTTCCAAAAAGCATCATCAAGTGTCAACTCAGGAAGTCGGCACCATTTATATCTCCATATGTTTGATAAGATGCTAGTCCTCACCGCATCTCTAAATGGCAAACACATCAAAATGATATCAATTACATTCTCTGGAAGATTGCTAAGTACATCGAAAGGTAAAGATTCACAACACTGCTTTTTAACCTCAGGAGCCATCATACCGTATTCGCCAATGTAACCCTGTAGAAAATGACCAACAATAACAAAAATGAGTAATCTCCAAACTAAACGGGAATCTTAGTGGCTTAGTTGATTGACTACCTGGCATTCGATTCCCCACCTTATAATCCCCTCCCCAATTCTCATTACCGGGCCCCAATGTGATTAAAAAAATACTCCTAAAAGGGTGTGTTCTAACTGAAATTAATCATGATATACCCAGCGGAGACAAAAAAAAAAACACTAGTTGATTCTTCTTATCTGTCCTAGCCTTGGTGGACAGAGTTACCTAATATCTATTGCTGGTGGAAGGTGGCAGGTATCCCATAGAATTAATTAAGGTACGCGAAACCCGATCATACAAAAAAAATCTCAATGTTACAGGAATCAATACATAGATTTGTTTATTCTAAAATTAAGATTGGGGAAAATTAAAACAAGAACCCAATTACATTTTGTCCACAATTTGCACAACCCTAATCACAATTAAAACCATTCATTTCATAAACTAAGTACACAATCCAAATGAAAAAAAATAAAAAAAAGAATTAATGCTTACCAAGAGCAACAATTAGTGAATTAGGAAGATCCAAAAGGAATAAAGTATTATCTTTCATCAACCAAAGAGAGAATGAGAGAAATGGGGATTTGTAGATTTCACAGGGCGGAGGTTTTCTTAAAATTTAGGGGGAAAATGAAAAGCAAACGGTGTGGAGTGATTAGAGAGTATATAAGTATTTAAGGGAAAATAAAAGAAGATCCTGCGTAAGAATTCTTTACTTTCCTTTTTAGTCTGTATAAAAAATAAATTAACCTCTTTATTTTTTTAGTAATATTTTAATTTTTATTTTCCACGTGGCATGTTTAAGGGCACAAGATTAAAGTGCAATTTTTATACATTTGACATAACTTTAATTTAGGACCACAAGATTTAAAAGTTTCTTTATTTTCTTAAACTCCGTGCCAAGTCAAACTAGGCCACTCTTTTTTAAACGGAGGGAGTATATCATTTACACCAAATCAAATAACTTAAAAATAATACATAAATATATCATTTAACTTGGCTTTAGCTGACATCTACGCACTCCAATTTTGGGCGTGCCCAAATAAACACTTAAATTTATGTAAAATTTAACAAGTAAACAACACATCCTAAATGACATAGTACATGTAGGATGTCACATAGGACACAAAATTGTCACGTAGGATGGATATGTCTATTTGTTCAATTTTATACAAGTTTAAATGTTTATTTGTACACACTCAAAGTTGGATGCGTAGACGTCAGTTGAAACCAAGTTAAATGACATATTTATGTATTATGACATTTAAGGGCCAATTTACAAGGATGAAGCGATTTTCTCCAGTTTCGTGTGTGTTAGCCTATGAATATTTTGGTGATATAACTTCCGGTCAATTTTTATGTGAAAACTTTACAGAACCTTAGTAGAGAGTTAAGAGAGTAGTACATATAGTCTCACCATTTTTAGAGTGATATTTGGGCATTTAGGGGTCAATTTACGAGAATTGAGTAATTCTCTTAGATTTTTTTTTAGGGAAAAAAGACAAATATACCCCTGAACTATTGTAAATGATATGCAGATACCCTCCGTCATACTTTTGGGACATTGGTGCCCCTGCCATCCAAAAACTAGAGCATATATGCTCTTTACTCTAACAGAAGACTAAATAGGGACACGTAGCGCAATCTTATCCGTCGATCCTATATTTTAATAAATGTCGGATCAGTGGATAAGATTATGACACGTGTATGTCTATTAGTATAAAGGATATATATGATCTAGTTTTTGAACGACAAGGGCACCAATGTCCCAAAAGTATGACGGATGATATTTGCATACATTTTACGATAGTTCGGGGGGTATATTTGTCCTTTTACCCTTTTTTTTTATGTGTTAGCCCATGAATATTTTGATGATATGACTTTCATACACGGGCTAACACCAAAATATGTCATCCCATGTATGTTAGCCCATGTATGAAAGTCATATCACCAAAAAATTCATGGGCTAACACACACGAAAAACAGAGAAAGTGGCTTAATTCCTATCAATTGGCCCCTAAATGCTCAAAAATCACTCTAAAAATGGTGAGACTGTACGTACTGCTCCCCAACTCCCTATGGAGGGTTTCACAAAGGTTTCGCAAAAAAATCATTTGAAATCCATATCACCAAAATATCTATGGATTAGCACACACGAAAAACTAAGAAAATCTCCTAATTTCTGTAAATTGGCCCCTAGCCCAAAAATCACTCTAAAATGGTGAGATTGTACGTACTTCTTCCACAACTCCCTACGGAGGGTTCCATAAAGATTTTGCGAAAAAATCGTCCAAAAGCCATATCATCAAAATATTCATGGGTTAACATACACGAAAAACTATGAAAATCGTGTAGTTCTTGTAAATTAGCCCGTATATACCCAAAAAGCACTCTAAAATGGTGAGACTGTACATACTGCTACCCAGACTCCCTAAGGAAAGTTCCATAAAGCTTTTACCAAAAATTCATCCGGAAGCCATATCACCAAAATCTCCATGGGCTAACAAACATGAAAAACTAAGAAAACCACCTAATTATTGTAAATTGGCCCTCAAATGCCCAAAAATCACTCTAAATATGGTGAGACTGTACATTTTGCTCCCTCAACTCTCTACGAAGGGTTCCATAAAAGTTTCACAAAAAATTCACGTGGAAGCCATACCTCCAAATTATTCATGGGCTACAACATACGAAAAACTAAGAAAATCGCCTAATTCCTTTAAATTGGCTCCTAAATGCCCAAAAATTACTTTTAAAATGTCAATATTGTACGTACTGCTCCCCTAACTCTCTAATGAGGGTTTCATAAAGGTTTCGCAAAAAATTCGCTCGGAAGCTTCGGAGGTCCTCATAAAGTTTTTTCATGAAAATCTTCTGGATGCCAGAAAGCGCCAACATTCGTGGCATTACACACGAAAAACCAAGAAAGTCGCGTGATTCCTAAAAGGTGTCCCCTAAATACAAAAATAGGCCTTAGAAAATGGTGGGACTATACATAATGCTCCCTTAACTCATTACGGAGTTGCTCATAAAGTTTTTTCAGAAAAACGTTCCGGGTGCCAGAATGCGCCAACATCCATGGGCTAATACACAAAAAAATAATCAAGAAACTCGTGTAATTCTTAAAAGTTGGCCTCTAAATGTAAAGAAATATGCCTTAAAAATGGTAGGACTATACGTAATGTTTCCCCAACTCGTAACGGAAGTCCTCATAGAGTTTTTTTTAGAAAAACATTTCAGGCGCTAGAAGACGCCAACATCTATGAGCTAATACACACCAAAAACAAAGAAAGTCGCGTAATTCTTAAAAGTTGGCCCATAAATGCAAAATATGTCTTAAAATGGTGGGACTATACATAATGTTCCCCCAACTCATTACAGAGGTCATCATAAAGATTTTTCAGAAAAACCTTCCGAGCGCCAGAAGGCACCAATATCCATGGGCTAATACACATGAAATCCAAAAAAATCACATAATTCCTAAAAGTTGTCCCTTATATGCAAAAATAAGCATTAAAATGGCGGTACTACAAGTAATGGTCCCCTAAATAATTACAGAGGTCCTCATAAAGTGTTTTCAGAAAAATCTTCCGGGCGCCAGAAGGCATCAACATCCATGGGCTAATACAAACGAAAAACCAAGAAAGTCGCGTAATTCCTAAAAGTTGGCCCCTAACTGCAGAAATATGCCTTAATAAAATGGTGGGATTATACCTAATGCTCCCCCAACTCATTACAGAGGTACTCATAAAGTTTTTTCAGAAAACCTTTCGGGCGCCAACATCCATGGTAAATACACACGAAAAAATAATAATCATGTAATTCCTAAAAGTTGACCCATAATTGCAAAAATATGCCTTAAAATTGTAGGACTATACGTAATGCCCCCCCAACTCCTTTACGGATGTCCTTATAAAGTTTTTCTAGAAAAACCTTCCAAGCGCCAGAAGGCGTCAACATCCATGTGCTAATACACATGAAAAACCAAGAAAGTCACGTAATTCCTAAAAGTTGGCCCCTAAATTCAAAAATATTCCTTTAAAAAATGGTGGGACTATATGTAATGCTCCACCTACTCATTTCAGAGGTACTCATAAAGTTTCTTTTAGAAAAACCTTCCGGGCGCCAAAAGTCGCCAACATCCATGGGCTAATACACACAAAAATTTTAAAAAAATTGCGTAATTACTGAAATTTGGCCCATAAATGCAAAAATATGCCTTAAAATGGTGGGACTATACATCAGGCTCCCCAATTCATTACAGAGGTCATTATAAAGTTTTTTACGAAAAACCTTCCTGGCGCCAGAAGACGCCAATAGCCATAGGCTATCACATGAAAAACCAAAAAGTCTCGTAATTCCTAAAAGTTGGCCTCTAAATTAAAAAATATTTCTTTACAAATGGTGAGACTATACGTAATGCTCTCTCGATTCATTATGGAGGTCCTAATAAAGATTTTTCAGAAAAACCTTCTGGGCCCCAACATTCATGTGCTTATACACACGAAAAACCTAGAAAGTTATGTAATTCTTGTAAATTGGTCTCTAAATGCAAAAATATGCCTTAAAATAGTGGGACAATACGTAATGCTCCTCCAACTCATTACGAAACTCCTTATAAAGTTTTTTTAGAAAAACCTTTCGGGCTTCAGAAAGCGTCAACATCTCTGGGATAATACACACGAAAAACTAAGAAAGTCGCGTAATTCCTATAAGTTGACCCCTAAATGCCAAAATATGCCTTAAAATAGTGGGACAATACGTAATGCTCCTCCAACTCATTACGAAACTCCTTATAAAGTTTTTTTAGTAAAAACCTTTCGGGCTTCAGAAAGCGTCAACATCTCTGGGATAATACACACGAAAAACTAAGAAAGTCGCGTAATTCCTATAAGTTGACCCCTAAATGCCAAAATATGCCTTAAAATGGTGGGGCAACACGTAGTGTTCCCCCAACTCATTACGGAGGTTTTAATAAGGTTTTTTTCAAAAAAATCTTTTGAGCGCTAGAATGCTCCAACATCTATGGACTAATACACACGAAAAATCAATAAAGTCACGTAATTTCTAAAAGTTTGCCCCTAAATTCAAAAATATGCCTTAAAATGGTGGGAATATACGTAATGCTTCCCCAACTCATTACGGAAGTCATGATAAAGTTTTTTCAGAAGAACCTTGCAGGCGCCAGAAGACGCGAACATCCATGGGGTAATACACAAAAAATCAAGAAAATCGCGTAATTACTAAAAGTTGGCCCCTAAATGCAAAAATATACCTTAAAAATTGTGGGACTAAACGTAATGCTCCCCCAACTCATTACAGAGGTCCTTATTAAGTTTTTTTTTCTTCAGAAAAACCTTCCATGCGCTAGAAGGAGCCAACATCCATGGGCCTATTTACATGAAAAGTCAAGAAAGTCACGTAATTCCTAAATGCTGGCCCCTAGATTCAAAAATATTTCTTTAAAAAATGGTGGGACAATATGTAATGCTACCCCAACTCATTATGGAGGTCATAATAAGAAATTTTAAGAAAAACTTTTCGGGCGCCACAAGGCGCCGATATCCATAGGCATTAACATATGAAAAACCAAGAGAATCGCATAGTTCCTACAAGTTGCCCCCTTAATACAAAAATAGGCCGTAAAATGGTGGGACTATTCGTGATTCTTCCCTAACTCATTACGAAGGTCCTCATAATTTTTTTTTTCAGAAATTTTTTTTTGGGCGCAAGAAGGCGCCAACATTCATGAGCTAATACATCCGAAAAAACTAAGAAAGTCGCATAGTTCCTAAAATTTGGCCTCTAAATGCAACAGTAATCCTTAAAAAGAAGTGGTACTATATGTTATTCACCCCCAACTCATTACGGAGGTCCTCATAAAGTTCTTTCAGAAAAACCTTCTAGGCGTCAACATCCATGGATAATACACACGAAAAACCAAGAAAGCCACATAATTCCTTAGAGTTGGCCCCTAAATAAAAAAATATGCCTTAAAAATATGGTGGGACTATACATAATGCTCCCCCAACTTATTATAGAGGTCCTCTTAAAGTTTTTCAGAAAAACCTCCCGGGCGCCAATATCTTGTGCTAATACACACGAAAAACCAAGAAAGTCGCCTAATTCTAAAAGTTTCCCTCTAAATGCAGAAGTATGTCTTAAATATGGTGGGACTATATGTAATGCTCCCCCAACTCATTATGGAGGTCCTCATAAAAATTATTTAGAAAAACTTTTCGGGCGTCAGAAGACGCCAATATCTATGGGCTAATACATATGAAAAATCAAGAAAGTCACATAATTCTGAAAAGTTGGCCCCTAAGTGCAAAAATATGCCTTAAAAATGGTGGGACTATACGTAATGCTCCCTCAGCTCATTACAGAGTTCCTCATAAAGTTTTTTCAGAAAAACCTTCCAGGCGCCAGAAGGCGCCAACATTAATGGGCTAATACACACGAAAAACCAAGAAAGTCAAGTAATTCCTTAAAGTTGACCCCAAAATGCAAAATTCTACCTTAAAAAATGGTGGGACTATACGTGATGCTCACCTATTCATTACAGAGGTCCTCATAATTTTTTTCAAAAAAACCTCCTGGCGCTAGAAGGCGTCAACATCAATGGGCTAATACACACGAAAAACCATGTAGATTACATCGTTAATATTGTCCAAAAATAAGGTGCAATATCCGTTTTTTCTCTCTCGATATTAAGTGTGTATCTATCAATTTATTAACAAAGACATTTTTTCTCAATAATGTTTTTTTCATTTATATTTCATTATAGGGTTAATAACATTTTTAGGGCATTTAACCTTCAATTATTTGAATCGTGCACTTTTGATCCTTTTACTTTTGAATAATCATAAAATTCCTAATATTAATCGGTTTCACCATTTAATCACTCATGTATATAATCTTCTAATGTCTAAATAACATATTTCCTAAAAAAATTTGGACCAAAACACGCATTTTAATTAATTATAGATCAACTTTGGAGAATCTCATATCGCACGGACTAAAATTAGAATATATAAAATCGTTTATAAAATATAAAATAATTTTAAATTCCTAAATATTAGGTAAGAAAATTTATAAATAAGAGTTTTTGTACACCTCAAAGGCCAAGCTTTCAGAATCCTAAAGGGCACTACGCTGCTTCTCTCTGCCTATTCTTCAAACGGAATTTAATTGTAAGTTTTTTTTTTCTTTGTCTGATGTTAGTATATATAGTTTATCTTGTTATGCTGTTTTTATTAAACGAAAACGACCTCTTTACCTTCACAAAGTAAAAGTAGGATCCGAACCCTTTCGATGAAAAATTGCCTTGTATAATCTCTTAACGGTTAAAATTAGGTTTTCTGCATGATCCGAGGGCGGCTAGTGGCTTTAGGCACAAAAAAATATACATAACTTTTTAGTTGTTAGGTATATTGTAAATACTTGTTTCAAAATAGTTCTCAAAAAGAATAGAAGGAGTATTAATTAAAATATTCTTAATAGTTTGTTGCTAATCATTACTAATTATTATGCACAATTGATTTAATTATAATTAAATCTCGTACACAACTAAATTTACAGTTATTTAATTAATTTCTGTAATTCACTTCAATTTGAATCAATCATGTTTTAATATTAGTTTTGTAAAATTGTCTTCAATTCTTTAATATGTTTATTAAACATTTCAAGCTCAAACTAATTAGATTATCAAATAATTAAATTTTGAAAAATATTGTGTTAACTTTGAATGTGAAGTCTTAGTTTTATTTTAAACGCTTTAGAATAATCTCAATAGTTTATATAATTATTAAAAAGTTTTCAAAACAATAATCAATAAAAGGGATTTAAAAGTTTGTGTTATTATGTACCGTACAATAATTTATATATGCTTACAAAATATTACCATAAACGTTATACTGTCAATTGAAAAAAAAAGTTAATTATCAAATTATAAACGTCATACTGTCAATTGAAAAAAGAAAGTTAATTATCAAATTATAATCAATTACAATATTTTTTTTAGAATTTGTGAGGATAATATATATATAAAATATTAAATAAACGTATCTCTATTTTCTAAATTTTGGCTTTCGGCCCCATATTTTATTGAGCCGCCTCTTGACTTTGAATCTCATTACAACTTGCTTGGATAGATGTTACATGTTGTATTGTATCCCTTTGTTTGTTTAAATACGATTTTTGTGATTGTTACTTAAATTTTACTTTATTGTATCATTAAATAGTTAAAGATGAAAAGTTAGTTTTACTCCATATGCTACTTTTTATTTTTTACGGTTTATTCTTAATTGTTGATTATTGACATTATGTAACAAATGAAAACGATACAATACAATAATTATGATATAATGTGTAACAATAATCCAAACAAAGTTTAATGAAAATCTTAATTCGTCCACTAAATAGGGTAAGTTCTAGAGAATACATGTAAAAGTTAGGGTTAGATCATGCTATTTTATTTTCTATCTATTGTATTTTATTTTTAATCTTCTTTTATGATTATGGTGTCCGAATCAGCTTTCGTGCAGCTTGACTAATTCCACGGGATACCTGCCATCTCCCACTATCAAGTAATTCACTCCACCATATTATTCCATCAATAAAAAAAATAGAGTTGATTACGTTGGTGTTTGATTCTCATATCATAGGAAGATATGCCAGCAAAACGTGTCAAAATAAGTCAATCAGACACTAGCCAAAAATTAATTGATGGGGAAGATATAATCAGTGACTTACCAAGTAACATAATAGATTGCATTTTAGGGAAAATGCCTATACGTGATGCTGTGAGAACGAGTGTTCTGTCAAAGAAGTGGACATTGTACTACTCAACCATTCCCGAGTTGGAATTTGATGACAAATTCTCCAAAGAACTTCAAAACTTTGCCATTTCCCAGAAGAAACTTCGTATATTATCTGAAGTTGAGCTCGAGCACAAGTACCAATTGGATGAAATTGTCACTAGATTTCTTATGTTTCATCCTGGTCGAATAGAGAAATTTAAAGTATTTGTTCCAAATTTCAAATCAACAAGGGCTCCTAATGTTAACAAATGGATTCGAAAATTATCTCAGAAAAACGTCAAGAAATTAGCCTTAGAATATAAGAAAGACATTGTGAGTCATAAGTTACCTTCGTATTGCTTTTCTTGTTTGGACTTGACATATTTGAAGCTCCGTAATCTTCATTTATTGCATCATCCACCAACGTTTAAAGGCTTCCTATATCTTGACCAATTAGAGCTTATTGGCGTTCACTTTGTCAACGACTATTTTGAATCTTTTCTCTCCAGCTGCCCTGTTCTTCAGAAGCTAGTGTTGTATGGATGTTCTGGTGTTCATCATTTTAATATAAGTGGTTCTAAACTCCAACGGTTGTTCATCAAGGTCGATGATGATTTTCAATCAATTTCCTTAGAAAACGTTCCTAACTTGACTGAAGTTTCTATGACGTTGGACAAAGTTGTACTAGGCCTGGAAAACAATCCTAAATTCGATTTGGTTTTGGATAGCTTGCCTAGCTTAGAAATACTTCGTCTAAATGGCAAGTTTCTACAGGTTAGTATCTACTGAAATTACTTAAACATATCTCTATTTTGATTTTATATAAATCTAATAAAAATATGTTTTCGCGTGTCATTTTTTTCAGCTCCTAGCTGAAACTCTAGTTCCGCCTATTCTATCAACATCGCTGGACTCTCTAAAGATTATTGAACTCAAAGGTGTAAACTTTATGAACTTTGATGAGATCTCTTTTGTTGTATTCTTGATTAGAATTGCTCCGAATTTGCAAGAACTTCATATTGAGGTAAATCGTAATATTCCATCTAATTTATGATAATTTTTTCAAAAATATAAATACGCGCTTGTTAGATTTTTCCTCTGTTTTCATGTAGGCTTCTACCGTCGAGCTAAACCAAGAGCAAGTCTCAGGTTATCTAAAACGCCTGCATTGCACAATGGGCAAACTTCGTCTGATCAAGTTAACTAATATCTCGAGTTTTGTTCCTGAGTTTGAGTTTATACAATTCCTTCTCTTTAGCTCGCCATCACTCGTGACAATGAGCATTGTCGAGCATCCAGAGCTTGAACCGGTTGAAGCATTGAGAATTACTAAGAGGCTACTCCAGCTTCGGCTATCATCAGCAGTGAGCATAGATTTCTCGAGCGATAGTACAACATGAGTTTCATAAATCATAATGGTAGTAGATGTTATTTTTCTAGTAAAAGATTTGATTTCAACATTTTGCAAAAGAGTGGTTGGTTCGATGGGAACTGAGTGGAAAAATAATATTTTATAACATGAATTTTTCATTGAATCGCGGTGGGAAAAGTTTTTGTTTCTAGTAGTGATTGGTGCTAATTTTGTTTATATTCTTGTTACACTATAGTTGGCTGGGCGATAATTTATTCTAGGAGCATCTGAAAGTTCCCTATAATAACAACATAAATTACTAGAAATCAAATTTGGCTAGAGCGCGCGGCTGGCCAGCTTCCGCCCCGGCGTGTGGGGGTGATGCGTGACGCCCAGGCAGATGTGCCCTCTGCCTAATGGCATCGAGCACAACTTACATTTGAAGACTTGATGGTTCACGGGATTGTGTAATTCACACCAAGTATTGCATTTTGCTACGTTCTTCATCGATGCGAGAGCCGATTGTCGAGAGAGTGGTTTGTGTTTCAAGAGCAGCACACGTCCCCCCACACTCGGCGGACGGGACCCGAGGGGCGGGCTGTCAATTTTAGTATTCCTTGGCGCTTTCTGCGCCGGGTTCGTTGGTTACCCGACGAGCGCGCGGGCGTGCACGCCAGGGACGGAAGGGAGGCGCACAAGCGGGGGTGCTTTTTTTCAAAGTTCGATGGCATATTTAAGCCTTTTTCCTTTTTAAAAAATAATTAAAATAATGACGTAGCCGAATCATAATTGACCACGTGTAAAAAATAATTTTGCAAAACAAAACTATTTTCAGTTAACAAATAATTGCATGAATGAGCCTTTTCTCAAAGGGAAATGACACAAATTAGTCAAACATTTAACGGATGACATAAATGAGTTTTTTCTCAAAGTTTGATGACATAATTGAGCCTACTTTCTTAAGAGGTGTGTCAAGTCAATATGAAACCTATGGGGTCCCACCAGGGGCGGATCTATAGTGTGTCCAGGGGGGTCATCCGACCCCCCTCGGAAAAAAAATTACACTATATATATAAGATTAATTTTTTTGTGTACGTGTATATATTTAAAATTGAACGCCCTGAGCATATGTCAAAGGAGTAGCTCAGTGGTTTATGGGGGTCAGGATTCAGCCTATGTGAGCTTTGGGTCACGGGTTCGATTCCAGGCAACAACATTTTTTTTATTTGAACCACCTTGATAGAATTCCTGCCTCCGCCACTGGGTCCCACACTAGTAAATTGGAGTTTTCTATTTTGATTAGAAAATTGAATATGTGTGATATATATTTGATAGTTATAATTAATATTTAATTATATATATTCCAGCTATCCCTAATTGCTTGTCCACTTTTGAATTGACACACCTATTAAGAAAACAATTATTGACATAGTGAGTTTACCATTTTACCCTTATTAATTATGAAGCGGATGAATTAAAAATTTAAGATTTTCAAGAAGTTTACCTTTTTCAAAATTAATTAATTGAGGGTATAATAGGTAAAAAATTTTTTATCCTTTCTTGATTTGTCAAAAGGGACAAGTAAAAAGAAAATTGGACAAGTAATTAAGGATAGATGGAGTAATAAATATATTATAATATTGATATATACTAATCCAATTTGGAATTGAACAGGGAAGCCATGTATAAAACGTGGAGAAAAGTTCCATAGCAAATTTATTATGAAAAAAACTCCACCAAGTCAAGAACAAAATACCATTGACAAGAAATTATTTTCTCGTTTCGTTTATTATGAGTTGAAATTTTTCAGAGAATAGTATATTATTCATCCGTTTTTTTGCGAGTTTCATTAATCAAGGTGGTGTGGATGCACATAAAGTCTTCTTGCTATCGAAGAAATTTTGAATTACGATTCTCGTTAACAGGTTTGTCTTGAAACTGTGTAAACAAATTTTATGGTACACACAAATATATATATGTCCGGGGGCGGAGCTACCCTATCCCGGGATGTTCAATTAGACATTTTTTCGTCGAAAAATTACAATATATAGATATGTCCGAGGGCGGAGCTACCCTATCCCAGGGTGTCCAATTAGACATCTTTCGTCGAAAAATTACAATATATAGATAAAATCTGACTTTATATTGATATATATAGTATTTTGGACACCTTGAAATACCAAAGAAACTCATAGTCTAGTTGGCTAGAGCACTCGCATAATTACACGTTGCCCCGGTTTGAGTCCTTGCATGCGTATTTCTTTTTTTTTCTTTAATTATTGTGGCCTTCTTGAATTTAATAATTAAATAAACATGCAAACTCTCATATAATTATTCAGTAACTTGGTGGTAAATTGTGTCAAACTTGTGTTGAATGTCAGAAGTTTGAATCTCACTTTCCACTTTTTTTGATCTTCTTATTTTACTTTAAATCATTGTTTTTTTATATTTACTATCCAAAGTTTGGACACCCTGTGTGTTATCCCTGGCTCCGCCACTATGTTATGTTATAGTTATGTCCCCCCGCGTGTTATGAATATTGTGCAATACTACTAGCTAGTTTGAAAGTATGACAAATATTTGGTTTATTTTTTATCCTCATCTGGTTGTTGTAAATAGTGGCGGAGCCATCCAGGAATTCAAAAATATACGTATATGGCGAAAAATAACATATTTATATATATAGTAGTATAATTTTTATCGAAGAGGGTTCAATTGAATCCCTCTACCTATTTGAGTTTCTAAACCATATTATGATAAAAAAAAATGTTGTTTTTGACTATAAAACTTAAATAGTCACCTAGATTAATATAATGATGTTTACTTTCTGCAGATTTTAATTGGTGATACAATGTTTCACAAACATGCTCGTCAAAATGTACCTCTGGATGTACTTAGTAGCCTTCCTGACAACGTAATCGATGAGATTCTTATGTGTTTGCCTTTACGAGAAGCTGTTAGGACAAGCATCTTATCAACGAAATGGAGATATAAATGGTGCAAAATACCTGATTTGAAACTCAACTATAAACTTTGGGAGGACAAGATAACTGTTATAACTAACTTTACTAACATTATCTATCATCTTATGACTTCTCATGATGGACCAAGTTCTAAGTTTATCCTCTTGATTCGCGGACTTGAAGATTGTCCTGTGCAGAGGCGTATCCAGGATTTCGGCTAGATGGGTGCACGATTTTGAAAAAATGTATCCTAAATATAAGTTTGATCGATTTGACTTTTAGTTCTTAATACGAACCATTAAATTTTAAAAATTATAGGTCCAAAATATATAATACTACTAGTTTTAAATTTTAATATACACATTTGATTTAATTATATAAAAAATGTACGATGCTAAATTTTTTAGGAATTTTCAATGTAACACTTGAAAATTTTGAAAGATTAAAGGAAAAAAATAAAAGCAAAATTAGTTGAAACGTCACAAGTGTAATTGATAACCATTTGAAAAGGTGTTACTCAAAAAGACAAGATAGATATAAGATTTAAATCTCTATCCTCACTTAGAGATGTGCACCCAATTATCATCGTATTATTATATGATACTTTGAACATGGGTTCACACATCTATATTTAAATATTTTAAAAAAAAATATAACACTACTATATATGACTTAGAGGGGGAGCATGGGTTCATGTGAACCCACGGCATCCCCTCTAGATACGCCTCTGGTCCTGTGCTTGACAAGTTGATATATTTCCTCTCCAGGAATCGCGTTCAGCATCTTGAACTTAATATCTCAGGATATAACAAACATAAATTGCCTTCTTCAATTTTCACTTGTTCGCGATTGATGTATCTAATCCTCAGTGGTTGTTCAATACTACTTGTTCCACGGACCTTCAAAGGTTTTGATAGGTTAATTAACCTGGAATTAAGGAACATGACAATTTCTCCCAAAATACTTGAATATTTGATCTCTAATTGTCCATTGCTCGATAAGTTAATGTTGCATCAAAATATTTATTTTGGTGTCATTGAAATTAATGCTCCCAAGCTTCGAGCCTTTGAATTCACCGAAATGGAAGGGTCTATATGTTTAAAAAGTACCCCTAATCTTGAAGATCTCACACTTTGGCATAAGAAATAATCAAATTTGTTGTTGTGTTAAGCTCGTTACGACGTGCATCACCTAAAGTAGAAGTTATTTTTGATTATATATCATGAAGAATAATCTAAGAATAATCTTTTATTAGTGTGTATTTTACTAAACTCATCTTATTGACGATGTTTTAGAACTCTAAATTTGACTACATTATTTAATACTAAGGATATTATGGCGGAAAAATAATAAAAACTCTCTTGATTTGTTAAAATGAACGAGTAAAAAATTATTTATAATATGGTCCAAGTAAAATAAAACGGAGGGAGTAATATTTAACTTGAAATGGTAGTCTTAAGAGCTGATCATCCCAAAGTAAGTAAAAACCTGGTTAAGTTTAAATAATTAAAATAGAAAAAGCAGAACAATTAATTATTGGCAGTGTCATTTATTTCTTTTATAGGGAAACTGAAACGTTCACTTGAAAACTACAAATAAGTGCCTAACAGCTGACATTTTTTAAACACAGCAGAGAAAGGTTAAACTCCATATGTTTGGATCTTGGTAAGCTTTATAATATGTGTTTCTCATCTTTTTTTCTCTATAGAATATGTTAGTTTTCTTGGATATTAAGAGATATAATGTATTGGAATTGAAAAAAAGTACATATATAGCTTTGGCTTTTGAGCTTAATTATGGGGGTAAAAGGTAACTGATCTATATATAATTGTATGTCACATCGTTGAATTGTTACTCCTTTTGTCGTAATTTATGTGACACTTTTTGCTTTTCGAGATAGAACATGCTGACACTTTTATGTTGTAAGTTGTGATTGTATGAAGAACAGTTCTAGCAAGATAGTTTTGGAGATCCCTCACTTTTTTATCCTTGTTTATTGTCTGCAGGTTCTTATTGGGGATAATTGTGCAATACATATGATGCTTCCTAATGATAAAAAACTTTGTACTGCTACTTTACCTTCTGATGTACTTAGCAACCTTCCTGAGAATGTAATTGATGACATTCTTATTCGTATGCCCTTACGAGATGTTGTGAGGACAAGTATCTTATCGAAGAAATGGAGATATAATTGGTGCAGAATTCCTGAGTTAACGCTTGATCAAACACTTTGGGATACAACAAATAAGTCAATACCCTTTGTAACTAGGTTTACAGACATAATCTACCACCTTTTGGTACTTCATGTCGGACCAATTACAAAATTTATCCTCTCTGATATTGCTTTTCTTGGAAATCACTCTAAAATTGACAACCTGGTATCTTTCCTCTCGAGAAATGGTATTCAACATCTTGTTCTTCAATTCCAGAAGTATAAACCATATATATTGCCTTCTTCATTTTTCACATGTTTTCAAATGAGACATCTGAGTCTTCATTATTGTTCAATTCAGCCTTTCTCTACCTTCAAAGGATTTAGTGAGTTAGTTAGCCTTGAATTGTGTGAAGTCACAATTTCCTCCGAAATGCTTGGAAATTTAATCTCTCATATCCCGTTGCTCGAGAAGTTGGTGCTGCGAATCTCAAGTATTTTAAACTACATTCAAATTGATGGTCCTAAGTTGAAATCCTTTGACTTCACAGGCAATATAAATATACTTTCCTTAGGGAAAGCACCTTTTCTTGTGAAACTTTCACTTGTGAATACAGCAGCTACTCTGAAGGCAGGAAAACATATTTCCAAGTATTTTGAGTTTTGTCCTTCTCTCGAGCATCTCCACTTGGATTATAGTAGTCTCCAGGTAAACATTGCATCATGTCCACTGTAATGCACTTTCATAGGCGTCCCATCGTGTGGGCTATGAGTGTTCCTGATTTTCAATGTTTTTTTCTTAGTTCTTGGCTGCAGGATCAGGTGATATAGCAGCAAAGCTTTCCTCTCCTCCTAATTGTCTTAAATGTCTTTGCCTATCCGACATTTGTCTGGATGAATCAGTTGAGCTTTCATTTGCTCTTTGCTTGATAAGAAGCTCCCCGTATTTGCAAGATATTCAAATGAAGGTGCTAATGACATTTAAATTCATTTTTTATTTATGGTTCTTCGTATGTGGTGACTTGCTTATGTTCAACCCCAATTCAAGTTATGTAGTAATGGTTTTTCTCAATCTTTTGTAGATTGATTATTCGGCATTGAACAAATTGCTTTTACCTGTGCCCGATGATGTTGTTAATGAAATTCCTTCAAGTTTCTCTGATGTGACATTGGATCACCTCAGGTCTGTTAAACTTGAAGGTATTACAGGCACAAAGACTGAAATTGAATTTATCAAGCTTCTATTATCTAAGTCTCCAGTGCTAGTCAGAATGTTAATCCAGCAGAAGATTGCAAATGTATCTGCTGAAACAAGACTAAAGGTAGTTACAGAGATAACAAAATTTCCGAGGGCATCACCTAAAGCAGAAGTTGACTATAACAGCGGTGTTTGATCTCTAGTCCTTTACCAGACCCTCATATTGGTGCAAGTTTTTGTAAGCGAAGATGATGGATGTGTTTCGCAAACAGAAGTTTATCTTATTAGTTTTTTTTATGTCTTCATCTTGAATGATGAATGTAGCTAAATTTGGTATCTGAATTTGTTTTATGGAATTTTTCCTGTTTTTTTGGTGCTAAATCTTTTGTTCCAGTTAACGGAGTATTTTGATTATATTTGGTTAGTTGTCACAGTTCACATAGTTATTTCTATTTACTATCTTAACTCTGTAAGTGTTGGTAAGCCTGTGTGATGTTGATCCGTTATCGATGAGAGTCATGCTCTTGAATCTCATGAAATTTAAGGCTTCTCAGATGAGCCATAAATCTCCTCAGAGCGGTCAACAGGCACATAGCCTGAAAGACAGTGATTAAGCTTCTATTAGCCAAGTCTCTAATGCTGGTAAGTTGTAAGGATGGTAATCAAAAGAATCTTATGAAACAAGACTCGAGTTGCTCACAGAGCTAACAAAAATTTCCGCGAGCCTTACCTAAAGCAGAAGTTGTCTATAAAATTGAACAAGTTCTATCTAAACTTGTCTTTTATAACACCTTCTGATCCTTGTTTATTGTCTACAGGTTCTTATTTGAGAGAATATTGTCATATATATGATGCTTCCTAAGGACAAAAAACTTTGTAGTGCTACATTACCTTCTGATGTACTCAGCAACCTTCCTGAGAATGTACTTGATGACATTCTTATTCGTTTGCCCTTACGGGATGCTGTGAGGACAAGTATCTTATCAAAGAAATGGAGGTGTAACTGGTGCAGACTTCCGTTGTTAATGCTTGATAAAACACTTTGGAAAACAACAAATAACTCAGTACCCTTTGTAACTAGGTTTACAGACATAATCTACCACCTTTTGACACTTCATGACGGACCAATTACAAAGTTTATCCTCTCCAATATTGCTAATCTCGGAAATTACCCAAAAATTGACACCCTGGTATCTTTCCTTTCGAGAAATGATATTCAACATCTTGTTCTTAAATTCCCAAAGAACAAACCATACAAATTGCCTTCTTCATTTTTCACATGTTCACGAATGAGTCATCTGAGTCTCCGTTATTGTTCAATTCAGCCTCCACCTACCTTCAAAGGATTTAGTGAGTTAGTTAGCCTTAAATTGTGTGAAGTCACAATTTCCTCTGAAATATTTGAAAATTTAATCTCTCATAGCCCATTGCTCGAGATGTTGGTTCTGGAAATCTCAAGTATTATAGACTGCATTCAAATTGATGCTCCCAGGTTGAAATCCTTTGGCTTTAGAGGCAATATAAATATACCTTCCTTGAGCAAAGCACCTTTTCTTGTGAAACTTTCACTTGTGAATACATCAACTATTGTGCAGATCATAGGAAAATATCTTTTTAAGTATTTTGAGTTTTGTCCTGCTCTCGAGCATCTTCACTTGGATTGTGGTAGTATCCAGGTAAACATTGCATCACGTTCACTCTAATGCACTTTCAAAGACATACTATTGTGTGGGCTTTCAGTGTTCCTGATTTTCAATGTTTTCTTGTTAGTTCTTGGCTGCAGGATCAGGTGATATAGCAGCAAATCTTTCCTCTCCTCTTAATTATCTTAAATGTCTTTGCCTATCCCACATTTATTTGGATGAATTAGTTGAGCTTTCTCCTTCTCTTTGCTTGATAAGAAGCTCCCCATATTTGCAAGATATTCAAATGAAGGTGCTAATGAAGTTTAATTTCATTTTTTATTTATGGTTCTTCCTATGTGGTGACTTGCTTATGTTAAATCTCACTATATCTTCAATTTAAGTTATGTAGTAGTGATTTTTCTCTATCTTTTGTAGATTGATTATGTGGCATTGAATGAATTGCTTTTTCCTGTGCCCGATGATGTTGTTAATGAAATTCCTTCAAGTTTCTCAGATGTGACATTTAGTCACCTCAGGTCTGTTAAGTTTGAAGGTATTACAGGCAAAAAGCCCGAAATGGAGATTGTCAAGCTTCTGTTAGCAAAGTCTCCGATGCTTGTGAGAATGCTAATCCAACCAAACAAGGAAAATGGATCTGTTGAAACAAGACTAAAGGTACTTACAGAGATAACAAAATTTCCGAGGGCATCACCTAAAGCAGCAGTTGTCTATAACATTGGTGTTTGATGTCTAGTCCTTTATCATATGGTGTAAGTTTTTGTAAGCTAAGATGAAGTGATGCAGTAGCATATGGATCTGTTTTACGTGACGTAACAATCTTTTATTAGTGTGTATTTTACTAAACTCATCTTATTGATGATGTTTTAGAACTCTAAATTTGACTACATTATTTAATACTAAGGATATTATGGCGAAAAAATAATAAAAACTCTCTTGCTTTGTTAAAATGAACGAGTAAAAAATTATTTATAATATGGTCCAAGTAAAATAAAACGGAGGGAGTAATATTTAACTTGAAATGGTAGTCTAAGAGCTGATCATATCAAAGTAAGTAAAAACATGGCTAAGTTTAAATAATTAAAATAGAAAAAGCAGGACAATAAATTATTGGCATTGTCATTTATTTCTTTTATAGGGAAACTGAAACGTTCACTTGAAAACTACAAATAAGTGCCTAACAGCTGACATTTTTTAAACACAGCAGAGAAAGGTTAAACTCCATATGTTTGGATCTTGGTAAGCTTTATAATATGTGTTTAATATATACTTTGAACTATCGAAAATGGTATATAAATATCGTTCGTTAAACTATTGAAACACTAGAGCCCCTGTCATTCAAAAAGTGGAACATTTATGCTCTTCTCTTTAACAAAAGCACACGTGTAGTCATCCTATGCATCTACCCTTATTATTCACCAAATTCTAAACTCACAACTCGAATTAAAAAGACCCACCCAAATAACCCCACTAACCCACATTGTCAACGTCAACGTCAACATCTTCAAGGTCCGGCGAGCTGCAACGAGAGCTGCGCGGTCCTTATCCTGACAAAATCACCGGAGGGAACAAAATTCATCTCTCGCATTTTGAACGGCGTCATAGGAGGCGGAGGTGGCTAATTCCTTCGTGCCACTCTTTCTCCGTTGAAGCTTCTGAGGCTTTTCCACCGGAGGTGATAGCTCCGTTGGTAGCGACGGCGGCATAGGAGGTAACGGTGGTTGAGGCTCTTGTTTTTCGTTGTGTTCTACTTCATTACTCTGCATTTTAGCCTTGTCTGAAAGGATCTTCTCTTTTTCAACTTCGCCTGAGGTGCCTTCCATGAGCTCATCGGAGGTTTTTCCGGCAATAAAGGGTCAGGTGGAGAAGAACGACTTTGAAATGTATCCACCGGAATCACCTTAACATCAGGTTCTTCCCTCTGCTTCTCGCTCCGCCGTTAACGTTGACTATCATACTCCGATGCCGTAGAACGATACAAATTCACACAAAAAAAAGACATTTTAACCCTTTTCTGCATATTGTGCAGAGTTTCTTTTTCTTCAAAATTTTGAACAGTAAAATATTTATTTATCAAACTAATTCATTATTTCAATTTTTAAAATATTCATTATATAGATCCATGTCCAAACGTATGTTTACTTAGAAATTGATCCTTCCATTGACTTGTTTCTATTGAATCTGGAAGGAAATTATTAAGTCGGCGACATTGAAAGTTTACATGCAGCAACAAGTGTGAACTTGATCTAAAAAGGAGGAGAGGGTGGTTGTCGGCGGCGTTGACGGAGGAGTGTGGTGGTTGGTTGGGACCAGATAGGAGAGTCTCCATCTAGTTCCATGGAGAGTGTTAAAGGGTTTTTTTCCTGTTCTTTTTTTAGGAGAGGATCTTTTTAATGGGTGGGTTAGGGGTTATTTGGGTGGGTCTTTTTAATTCAGGTTGTGGGTTTAGAATTTGGTGAATAATAAGGGTAGATGCATAGGATGACGACACGTGTCCTTCCGTTAGAGAGAAGGGCATAGATGCACCACTTTTTGGACGGTAGGACTCTAGTGTCTCAATAGTATAACGAAGGATATTTGTATACCATTTTCGATAGTTCGGGGGTACATTTGTCCTTTTTCCGTTTTTTCTATAGAATATGTTAGTTTTCTTGGATATTAAGAGCTATAATGTATTGGAATTGAAAAAAGTACATATATTGCTTTGGCTTTTGCTCTTAATTGTGGGTTTAAAAGGCAACTGATATATAATTGTATGTCACATCATTGAATTGTTACTCCTTTCGTCGTAATTTATGTAACACTTTTTGCTTTCCGAGATAGAACACCTGACACTTTTATGTCATAAGTTTTGACTGTATATGAATAATAATTTTGGACAAATCCCTTACTTTTCTAGTCTTGTTTATTGTCTGCAGGTTCTTATTGGGGATAATTGTGCAATATATATGATGCTTCCTAAGAACAAAAAACTTTGTAGTGCTACTTTGCCTTCTGATGTACTTAGCAACCTTCCTGAGAATGTACTTGATGACATTCTTATTCGTGTGCCCTTACGAGATGCTGTGAGGACAAGCATCTTATCAAAGAAATGGAGGTGTAACTGGTGCAGACTTCCTGTGTTAACGCTTGATAAAACACTTTGGAAAACAACAAATAACGCAGTACCCTTTGTAACTAGGTTTACAGACATAATCTACCACCTTTTGGTACTTCATGTCAGACCAATTACAAAGTTTATCCTCTCTGATATTGCTATTCTTGGAAATTACTCTAAAATTGACAACCTTGTATTGTTCCTCTCGAGAAATGGTATTCAACATCTTGTTCTTCAATTCCCGAAGGATAAACCATACAAATTGCCTTCTGTATTTTTCACATGTTCGCAAATGAGACATTTGAGTCTCCGTTATTGTTCAGTTCAGCCTCCACCTACCTTCAAGGATTTAGTGAGTTAGTTTGCCTTGAATTGAATGAAGTCACAATTTCCTCCGAAATGATTGCAAGTTTAATCTCTCATAGACCATTGCTCGAGAAGTTGGTTCTCCAAATCTCAAGTATTTTAGAGTACATTCAAATTGATGCTCCTAAGTTGAAATCCTTCGACTTCACAGGCGATATAAATATACTTTCCATAGGGAAAGCACCTTTTCTTGTGAAACTTTCACTTGTGAATACATCAACTATTGTGCAGATAGGAAAATATCTTTTTAAGTATTTTGAGTTTTGTCCTGCTCTCGAGCATCTACACTTGGATTGTGGTAGTATCCAGGTAAATATTGCATCACGTTCACTGTCATTTGCTCTTTGCTTGATAAGAAGCTCCCCGTATTTGCAAGATATTCAAATGAAGGTGCTAATGAAGTTTAATTTCATTTTTTATTTATGGTTCTTCCTATGTGGTGACTTGCTTATGTTAAATCTCACTATATCTTCAATTTAAGTTATGTAGTAGTGATTTTTCTCTATCTTTTGTAGATTGATTATGTGGCATTGAATGAATTGCTTTTTCCTGTGCCCGATGATGTTGTTAATGAAATTCCTTCAAGTTTCTCAGATGTGACATTTAGTCACCTCAGGTCTGTTAAGTTTGAAGGTATAACAGGCAAAAAGCCCGAAATGGAGATTGTCAAGCTTCTGTTAGCAAAGTCTCCGATGCTTGTGAGAATGCTAATCCAGCTGAACAAGGAAAATGGATCTGCTGAAACAAGACTAAAGGTACTTACAGAGATAACAAAATTTCCGAGGGCATCACCTAAAGCAGAAGTTGTCTATAACAGTGGTGTTTGATGTCTAGTCCTTTATCATATGGTGTAAGTTTTTGTAAGCTAAGATGAAGTGATGCAGTAGCATATGATGTGTTTTGCGAACATAAGTTAGATTTTATAATGTCTCATCTTGAATGATCAATGAATTGAGATTTGGTATTTTGATTTTATTTGGTTAGGTGTCAACGTTCACAAAGTCATTTACTCATTCCCATATACTCGTATATCAGTCAAAGAATGTGATGTTAATCTGTTATCAATGAGATTCATGATCTTGAATCTCATGAAGTTTAAGGTTTCTCAGATGTGCCACTGAATCTCCTCAGAGTGGTAAGGTTATCGATACAACGGGCACAAATATTGGGGAATGAGAGATCATGATGTTTGTAGTTTTGATGATTGTCAAAAAGTTTTGATGTGTGACAAAAACATTTTTTATCATCATCAAAAAGGGGGAAATTGTTGGGAAGTAGGAGAACATATAAAGTAGTTTTGATGATTGATAAAGTGAACATTGTTCACTATCAGGTGAACCAGCTTCCCAGACGTGAATGCTCACTAGACGTGAATGCAGACAACCTATACAAATATGAGAGATTACGGCAAAGAAGGAAAATATTAAAGTGTACAAAAAAATGAGCGAAAAATAATAATAAAGAAATAGTTGAAACAAAGGAGCAAAGAAGGAAAGAAATAAAGAAGAGATAAGTGTTAAAAACACACCTAAACTATCCCATTTTTTTGAGTTTCATACCTAAACTATTGAGAGTGTGAGTTTCATACCTAAACTATCACTTTTTAGTTTGAGAAACACACCTCTGAGGTGTGTGTAATGCACTCTCTCTTTTATTTAAAAAAACCTTGACACATGACATTCCACATAGATAAAATATTCCACTTTGACAAAAATTAAATAATAAATTATTAAGATAAAATATTTCACCTTGACAAAAATTAAATAATAAATTATTAATATTAATTAAAAATTAATAATTAAAGTGGTACTATTCATAAAAAAAATTATTTTTTTTTAAAAAAATTTAATTATTTTTCTTATCCCACTCCACCACCTCCTCCACGTACCCCAATAATCCCCCATCCATTTTTTTAAAAAAAATCTTGTAAAACATATTTTTTTAAAATTCATACTTCACCCTCCCCCTTCCAAAAAAAGCCACCCACTCATTCCCCCACCCCCAAAAAAAAAAATTGATAATGTTTTATTTAAAAAATAAAATAATTCTACCCCATCCTATTTAACCTTCCACTCCTAATTTTTATTTTTTTTACATTTTTCTTATTTTGTGTTAGATATGTATGTACATATATTTTTAGAAAAAAATATTCTACTAGTGTACCGAATATAGCATAAATAAGTAAAAAATTTAAAAATGTCTTGCGGCGGCAAGTAAAAAATATTTTCGATGCGAGGTTGTGGAGGGAGAGGAAGTGATGGAGTGGGGTAAGAAAAATATTTTACTTTTTTATTTTATAAAAAAAATATTATTATTTTTGGATAATAATTTTAATCTTTAATTTTAACTAATACTAATAATTTATTTAATTTTTGTCGAAGTGAAATGTTTTGTCCATGTGGAGTGTGATGTGACAATTTTTTAAAATAAAAGAGAGAGTGTATTACACACACCATGGTGAGAGTGGTATAAAAGAGAGAGGTGTGTTTCTCAATCTAATAAGTGATAGTTTAGGTATGAAACTCACACTCTCAATAGTTTAGGTATGAAACTCAAAAAATAGGTATAGTTTAGGTGTGTTTTTGAAACTTATCTCAATAAAGAAATAGCAATTCAAGTCGAAGAAGGAAAGAAGTAAATATAAACAAGTCCTAGGCAGAAAAGGAAACAGGCAGACAAGTTCAATAAGGAAAAGGATTAGTTTTCTAGGGAAACAAATATATTTCCTTGTAGAAGTTGATAAAGGCAAAACAAATTCTATAAAAGGTTCATACAAAAAAAACGAAAAAGTCGTTTTGCATAAACACAAATTGAGAGAATTTTTCAATAAAGTCAAAGCGATACCTATTGCATATTCACGGAAAGTCATCATCTTGAGAGCAATAGTGATAGCATCCATGTCAGCCTACTTGTACCAAAGTTGACGGGCTTCAATGAAAAATCAAGAGTACTTCTTTATCACGAAAGAAGTATCCAAATTCAAGCCTAAAAGAAAGAAGATAGGGCCACACGAAGCCCAATAAAAGAGTCCAAAAAGCTGAACGCTTAAAGTCAAAAGTTCCAGGTTTAAAAGTTTCCAAGTTTAAAAGTTTCCTAGTTTAAAGTTTTCCTAGTTTAAAGTTTCCTAATTTAACTTTTCCTAGTTTAAAATTTCCTAGTTATTATTTTCATAAAAGTAGGATTTGAATCTCATTCTATTTAGGATAGGTTTTCCCTATATATAGGGGCTGATTTTATTATTTTAAGAACAAACATGATTAATATTATTTGAGAAGTTTCTCTTTTTTACACCTTAGTGTGTGGTGACTATAGATTTATTTTACAACCTTATAAGAACGATTCTTTAAGAGGTAAGATTAATTCTTAATTTGATATCTTTGGTTTCTAATCGTAAATTAAAAAAGGTGATTAGTCTTATACTAATTGTTGTCTCTAATTTCTTCGTAACAGGGGTCTAGATCACTTTTGATTTAAGTTCTTGAATTGACTCTATTAGTATCATAATTAGTCTTAATCCGCTAATTTTGAATACTAAGATTAATTAGGGTTCTTAGCACTTTATCTTGAAATTGGGGGTTTTATTTTTGAATTTCACATATCTTTCAATTTTTGTCTTTTATCTCTATAATTTCGCTTCCACATTATTTTCTTGTTTATTCTGGTGACACGATTCTTATCAAATAGCCATTGGAGCAAAACTGCAAGGCTTCGTCACAACAACACTAGAACTAGGTTCATGAGTTGTGTTCGAGTCTAAATTATTGAATGTTGAAGTCTGATCAATTAAAGTCTAGGGTTATTAGTCTTTGTTGATTTATTCTAGGTTTATTATTGAGTTGTAATAATACCTAGATTGAGTAACAAGAAGTGGGTTTAACTTCTTGAAGAGAGTTTGAGAGAATTGTAACAAGAATTGGGTTTGACTTCTTGGAGAATAGAGTTTGAGAGGAAGTGTGAGAGAATAGTAATAAGAAGTGGGTTTGATTTCTTGGAGTGTAGAGTCTTCGATTATAGTTAATCGTTGAAGAGTAAAGGAACTAGAGTTAGTTCCTTTTGATTGTTGAGTTGTAATCTTGAAATGTTCTTGAAGTTAATAAAATCATAGTGTGGTTTTTCCCTTCCTTGAGAGAGGAAGGTTTCCACGATAAAATCTATTTTATTGTGTCACGTTGTTATCTAGCCAAACAAACAAGAACTTGGTTCTCGTTTAGGTGGTAAGGTTTCTTTCAACAAAGCCTGAAACCATGCTTATAAAGGATGGTAGTCGAGCTCACGAAAGAATCTCATGAAACAAGACTCGAGTTTCCGTGGGAATTACCTGAGGCATCTGACTCTCGAAAATTGTTTAATACTTCCTTCACCAGTTCCCTTTAAAGGATTTGATAGGTTAATCAGCTTGGAATTATGTGATGTAACAATCTTTTATTAGTGTGTATTTTACTAAACTATAATATGAGTTTCTCCCTCCATCCTAATTTATGTGACAATTTCACTTGCACTTTCTCTTGTAAGTTTGACTTTATATGAATAATAATTTTGGAGATACCTCACTTTTCTATCCTTGTTTATCGTCTACAGGTTCTTATTTGAGAGAATATTGTCATATATATGATGCTTCCTAAGGACAAAATACTCTGTAGTGCTACTTTACCTCCTGATGTACTTAGAAACCTTCCTGAGAATGTACTTGATGAAATTCTGATTCGTGTGCCCTTACGAGATGCTGTGAGGACAAGTATCTTATCGAAGAAATGGAGATATAATTGGTGCAGACTTCCAGAGTTGACGCTTGATCAAACACTTTGGGATTCAACAAATCAATCAATACCCTTTGTAACTAGGTTTACAGACATAATCTACCACCTTTTGGTACTTCATGTCGGACCAATTACAAAGTTTATCCTCTCTGATATTGCTAATCTTGGAAATTACTCTAAAATTGACAACCTTGTATTGTTCCTCTCGAGAAATGGTATTCAACATCTTGTTCTTCAGTTCCCGAAGGATAAACCATACATATTGCCTTCTTCTTTTTTCACATGTTCGCAAATGAGACATTTGAGTCTCCGTTATTGTTCAGTTCAGCCTCCACCTACCTTCAAAGGATTTAGTGTGTTAGTTAGCCTTGAATTGTATGAAGTCACAATTTCCTCCGAAATACTTGAAAATTTAATCTCTCATAACCTGTTGCTCGAGAGGTTGGTGCTGCAAATCTCAAGTATTTTGGACCACATTCAAATTGATGCTCCTAAGTTGAAATCCTTTGACTTCACAGGCGATATACGTATACTTTCCTTAGGGAAAGCACCTTTTCTTGTGAAACTTTCACTTGTGAATACATCACCTGTTGTGAAGGGAGGAAAATATCTTTTTAAGTATTTTGAGTTTTGTCCTGCTCTCGAGCATCTACACTTGGATTGTGGTAGTCTCCCGGTAAATATTGCATCTAATGCACTTTCATAGACATACTATTGTGTGGGCTTTGAGTGTTCCTGATTTTCACTGTTTTCTTCTTAGGTCTTGGCTGCAGGATCAGATGACATAGCAGCAAAGCTTTCCTCTCCTCTTAATTGTCTTAAATGTCTTTACCTATCCAACATTTGTTTGGATGAATTAGTTGAGTTTTCGCCTGCTCTTTGCTTGATAAGAAGCTCCCCATATCTGCAAGATATTCAAATAAAGGTGCTAATGACATTTAGTTTCATTTTTTATTTATGGTGACTACTTGCTTATGTTCAATCTCATTAATTATATCTTCAATTTACGTTATGTAGACTGTAGTAATGATTTTTCTCAATCTTTTGTAGATTGAGTATGTGGCATTGAACAAATTGCTTTTTCCTGTTCCCGATGATGTTGTTAATGAAATTCCTTCAAGTTTCTCAGATGTGACATTGAATCACCTCAGGTCTGTTAAGTTTGAAGGTATTACAGGCAAAAAGACTGAAATGGAGCTTGTCAAGCTTCTGTTAGCTAAGTCTCCAATGCTTGTGAGAATGCTAATCCAGCCGGACATTGAAAATGGATCTGCTGAAACAAGACTTAAGGTACTTACAGAGATAACAAAGTTTCCGAGGGCATCACCTAAAGCAGAAGTTGACTATAACAGCGGTGTTTGATCTCTAGTCCTTTACCAGAAGACCCTCATATTGGTACAAGTTTTTGTAAGCGAAGATGATGGATGTGTTTCGAAAACAGAAGTTTATCTTGTTAGTTTTTTTTGATGTCTCATCTTGAATGATCAATGTAGTTAGATTTGGTATCTGAATTTGGTTTTATGAAATCTTTCCTGTTTTTTTGTGCTAAAACATTTGTTCCAGTTAACTGAGTATTTTGATTATATTTAGTTAGGTGTCACAGTTCACATAGTTATTTCCATATACTATCTTAACTCTGTAAGTCTTGGTAAGTCTCTGTGATGTTGATCTGTTATCGATGAGATTCATGCACTTGAATCTCATGAAATTTAAGGCATCTCAGATGAGCCATAAATCTCCTCAGAGCGGTCAACAGGCACAAAGCCTGAAAGACGGTGATTAAGCTTCTATTAGCCAAGTCTCTAATGTTTGTAAGGATGGTAGTCAAAAGAATCTCATGAAACAAGACTCGAGTTGCTCACAGAGCTAACAAAAATTTCCGCGAGCATTACCTAAAGCAGAAGTTGTCTATAAAATTGAACAAGTTCTATCTAAACTTGTCTTTTCAACATCTTGTTCTTAAATTCCCCAAGGATAAACCAAACAAATTGCCTTCTTCATTTTTTACATGTTCACGAATAAGTCATCTGAGTCTCCGGTGCTTGTGAGAATGCTAATTCAGCCTGAAATAGGAGATCAATCTGCTGAAACAAGACTAGAGGTACTCGCAGAGATAACAAAATATCCAAGGGCATCACCTAAAGCAGAAGTTGACTACAATGTAAATCAGCATTAAGTTTCTGTATCTATGATGAATAGATGTTGAATGATCAATGAAGTGAGATTTGGTATCTGCTATCTGTGACATTCATGCTCTTGTATCTCATCAAGTTTAAGGCTTCTCAGACACACGAAGCCTGAAAGGATGCTGATTAAGCTTCTACTAGCCAAGTCTGTAAGCATGCTGGCAAGACTCTCATGAAACAAGACTAAGTTCCTCACAGAGCTAACAAAATTTTCCGCGGGCATTACCTAAAGCAGAGGTTGTCTATAAAGTTACAGAAGTACCATCCAGATTTTGTCTTGTCCATCTACACTTTACGTTTATAACACCGTGATCTATGGCTAAGAAAATTTTGGAAGTTAAAAACCTAAATGATTGTAAATGATGTATACTTAGAGAGGTTGTTTGGTGTTGGTCAATGAATCGGATGCTAGCCTGTGCTCAAATCACAGCAAAGACATCAAAACGTCAAAATCAATTTCTTTCCATCTGTAAGCCATGGTGATTGGTGAGCTTTACGGGTACTAGTTGGTAGTACGTAGCAAGCACCAGGTGGAATCAACAAAGTGCGTGAAAGTTGGCTCGGACAGACTTCTTGTTGATCCCCCATCTGCTTTGTCTAAGTCATTGTGAAAATTATGTAAATAGCAAAAACATGTAATTATACACAAGAGACTTAAATATCAACCAGAGTATTTAAAGGGGATTGTAACTGGAAACCCCAATGTCAACCAGTATCGCGCAACAACAAGGATAGTCAGAGATCTAAAAGACTATTTAACAGAACATGGTCCATGGTCTTGCAAAAAAGATAAGTTAAGTTGAGCAGGAATGTAATCTGGAAGTACTCTATGCAAGTTTGTACACAACTTCTGCTCTGGGTGATGCTCGTCGAAATTGTGTTATCTCTGCGAGTACCTCAATTCTTGATTTAGGAGTATCATCTCCTACACCAGGCTTGATTAGCATTCTAGCGAGCTTCGGAGACTTGGCTAAGAGAAGCTTGATAAGTTGCATTTCAGGATCTGTGCCTGTAATACCAGCAAACTCAACAACTCTGAGGTGATTCAATGTCACATTCGATAAGCTTTTAACTTTCTCTAGAATCTCACTGGTAACATCACCCCCCGCAGGTTCAACCCAATCATCATACACCTACGAAATAACAAAAGCCCTTTCACTCAACTAAATTGGAGGATAAACGGATTATGAGGTTAGAAAACAATTATAAACAGAAAGAACATACGTAAGAGAAAGAAGAAAGTAGAACCTCAATTTCGATTTCTTGTAAAAAGGGGAAGCTTTTTATCAAGTAAAGAGCACACGAAGCCACATCTAGTTCATCTAGAGAAAACTCGGATAGGTGAAGACGTTTAAGAGAGTTAAGAGCAAAAGGGAGCAGTTTTGGTACTTCACCTGCAAAGAACTGAAAAAGACAACACAAAAGTTAGGATGATTCAAATCCCCCGCCCCCCCCAAAAAAAACATGCATGAAAATGCACTACAATGAAGTCACGAAGGAAACATTTACCCGGACACTAAAATAATCCAAGTGGAGATGCTTGAGAGCAGGAAAAGACTCGAGAAACTTGGCGATACCACATTTTCCTGCCTTCCCAGAATATCCAGTATCTACAAGTGAAAGTTTCTCAAGAAGAGGGACACCTTCTAAAGAAAGAAATATTAGCTTGCCAGTGAAGTCAAAGGATCTCAACTTGGGAGCTCTAATTTGAATGTGATTCGTGATAGTTGAATGCAGCACCAAATGCTCGAGCAACGGGCAACAAGAGATTAAACTTCCAATAAATTTGGAAGGAATTGTGACATCACAAAGTTCCAGGCTAACTAGTTTTTCAAATCCTTTGAAAGCAGGTGGAAACATTATCAAACAATTTTGGAGACTCAGATGGCTTATTTGCGAACATGTGAATAATGAAGAAGGCACTTTGTATAGGTTACCCCTTGGGAATTGAAGAACAAGGTGTTGAATGCCATTTCTAGAGAGGAAATATATCAAGTTGTCAATCTTTGGACAGTTCCCCAGAGTGGCAATGGAGAGGGTAAACTTAGAAATCGGTCCGACATGGAGGGTCAATAGGTGGTAGATAATGTTTGTAAATCTAGTTGTAGGGGATATTGCGTTATTCGTCATATCCCAAAGTGCCTGATCAATCGTCCACACTGGTAATCTACACCAATTATACCTCCACGTCTTAGATAAGATGCTTGTCCTCACAGCATCTCGTAAAGGCAAACGCATAACAATGGCATCTATTATATTATCGGGAAGATTGCTAAGAATATCAGGAGCTAGAGCTCGAGAACCACGTTTCTTGTCCTTAGGAAGCATGATTCAGCAATAATTTCCAGTAAGAACCTGCATGAAATACACAATAATACTAAGGTAAAGAATGGCAAAACTATCTGGACAGAGTAAATATCACATAACAGTTATTCACATTATCAATCATCACGCCATAACAGTAAGATAAAAAGTATGGCTGCATTCTAACTGAAATCACTCATCATTCTCCTAATATCATTCTTGAATATACAGCAAGAACCCCTTTCATCAACACTTCAAGAATCTAGAAATTACTAAGATATATAGATCAAAAGGGAAAACTAAAACACGGAAACAAAAGAATCACATTGTCTTTACTGGTAATAAGCTTGATACTCTAACATCTACAGCTACAAGAGAAGGAAAAAATCATTATCAAATACTTGGCAGGATTCACTAAAAAAATCAGCTCAGTAGCCGTTTCCAGCTTTAGCTAGATTTGACACCAAACTAGTAACTTTAACTCTAAAATTTGAAAAGTATTCTCACAACTTGTGTCACCATAGCTTGCTTGGAAAGTAAAATCCTATCATGCCTAACATCTACATTAATATGTTCACCTCAACATGATTTTTATAAGTTGGAGGGACAATATTTCTATGATCCTTATACTCACTAACACTCTTAACTGATGGTACAACTCCAACTGTAGATCTAGTTTCCTCTGACAAAAGAGACTTTTCCTACAAAAAAACCTACTTACAAAGGCAAGTCCAAGATTTATACTTACAGGGTCATTGGATATTTAAAGTTATGAGTTCATATCTACTATTTGTTGCAACTTTGGTGAATTTAATGCTCCGCGTTGAAAGTATTGAGTTCATGAACCCACTAATATTACTCTGCTTACTCACACAACTATATCCCACTCTCCACTGGACACACACAAATCACAAGTCCCAGAAAATCTTTAAGAATTAAAACCATGTTTATAGCATGTACAACAACAATGACCCTTTCTCGTAATGAGAATGCATATAACCCTATTACGGTCTTCTCTATGGAAAAAAATTTTATCAAGGAAAAGCCATCTTCTAAGTTCTTTTTATTGCTTGGTTGGTTATAGGTATGTAGTGATCAGTGAAAATCACAAGTAGCAAATTGCTTGACTGGGTTTACATGTTTAGTGCAAGTAATAGTTGGGTGAAAACCGACTTAAAACCATAACAGAGCTATTTTATTTACATAGGAAAACATTTTAAGCAATCCATATCAAGGACAAATTTCAAACAAATAAAAAATTGCTTACATCCTAAATGCTAGTGTTGAATCCTCCTAAAGAAACAAAAACTTTTGGAGGATCCGAGCAACGTAGGATTCCCAGCAACATAGCTTACATCAACCGAATTAAGCATAAAAAATGCTTACATCCTATGTTGCTTGTACCGTCCAAAAATGTCAGTGTTCAATCCTCCCAAAAAAAAAAAAACTTTTGGAGAATCCGAGCAACGTAGAATTCCCAGCAACATAGTTTACATCAACCAAATTAAGTAAAAATGCTTACATCCTATTTTGCATGTACCCTCCACAAATGTCAAGTGTTGAATCCTCCCAAAAACCAAAAACTTTTGGAGGATCCGAGCAACATAGCTTACATCAACCAAATGAAACATAAAAAATGCTTACATCCTATGTCACTCGGACCCTTTAATGTCGAATCCTCCCAAAAAACAAACACTTTTGGAGGATCAGAGCAACTTAGGATTCCAAGCAACATAGTTTACAACTTTACATCAACCAAATTAAGCATAAAAAATGCTTACATCCTATGTTGCTCATACCCTCCAAAAAAAGTTAGTGTCAAATCCTCCCAAAAAACAGAACTTTTGGAGGATCCGAGCAACGTAACATAGGATTCCCAGCAACATAGCTTACACCAACCAAATTAAGCAGCTTTTTCTACAAAACAACAGCATACCCCTCCTAATCCCACAAGGTGAAGTCTAGAAAGGATACCATGTACACAAGATCTTACTCCTAACTTTGTTTATGGGGTTTGAGAGTTGGTTTTCGATAGCTCCTCAACTCATAAGAAATGTCATGCAGTAAAACCAGCATCTAAAAAACAGCAAAAAAAAAAAAAGAAAAAAAAAAAAAAAGAAAAAAAAAAAAAAAGAAAAAAAAAAAAAAAGAAAGGAAAATAGGGCTTTTTCTACATTCCCAAATCCCAAGAAAACCAAAATCTTCAACAAAAAAAGTACAAAAAGGAAGATAGAGCTTTTATTACACAAATTAACAACACCCAACTGAGAAAGATTTGATTTTTAAACTGAACAAGGAAACAAATTTTAAGCTTATCAAGAACTAAAATTATTACAGATACTGTAAACATCCAAAAAAAAAAAAAAAAAAANTAAAAAACCAAAAAAAAAAAAAAAAAAAATCAAATACCCTTTTGCTCACACGTTATCCTTCAGCTGCTGAGCACAAATTTGTATGATTTTGAAGTCTTCAAATTTATCACCACCGGAGTGAAAGAGGAACTGGAGAAGAGGGAGAGGTTTTCTTCTGTAATTAAATTTTACAGAAATGTAATATGGAGTGGAGTGGTGCGTGGGGTGACGTGGAGTGGGTGGGTGGGGGCAATTAATTATTGAGGTTCCTTAGTTACATCGTTTTGTCCATATCAATTTACGTGACACAATTTAATTTGACATAAAATATTTTTAAAAATGAAAAGGAAATTGAAATGTGATATATGTAAGGCAAATCTTAGATATTTATGTGATTATAAATTATTTTATTAAAATTCAGAGTTAAAATATATCTTCCTTATTTTATATTAATTGTTCATTTTTCTTGTAATAAAAAATCATAAATTAAAACAATGATTTTTACTAATTTACCTTTTAAGAAATTTTTCTCAAGCTTTACAAACTTGATTATATTCACAAAAATAAAAATAAAAGATTAATTTTAAGGATAATAATTATTTATAGTAAAGTGGACAATTAATATAGGACTAGTGGAGTATCTAATTATGAAAAGATTTTTTTTTCGGGATAACCTAAAAAAAGTGAGTATCACATAAATTGAGGAGAAAAAAAATAAAAATTAATGTGGTTATTTATTTAGAGAAATTGGCACGTATATTTAGTTAGGGAAAATTTATTTTGATCTGTCCACTTAATTATTTTATGCATGTGACATGTAATACCTCTGAATAGTTAAACTCGATTTCGTAAGTCACTTACAAACTCTCTTTTCTGATTTTATGACCTGTTTTTTTTATAAAAAATCGTTATTTTTATATATAAGAGATATAAAAAACACCAAGAGATATCATTTGATTGGTATCATAGACACAAAATTCCTACATTTTAACCACTTTTATATAAGGGCGGATCTAGAAGGGGCTAGGGTATATTCATTCGAATTTTCTTGACAAAAAATTTATACGATATATATATATAAGAGTTTTTTTTAGTGTTTATATATAAATTTTAAATTCTTCAAACATAAATGGCTCCATACGTTAAGGCGTTTAAATTTCACCTGTTTGATCACCATTTTTTTATTTTAGCGGACCATGAAAAAGTTGGAAGTTTTGCAGTAGTATGAATTCTTTTTATATAAAACGGTGTATCTATAAAATATTTTTATTTTTATCAATAATGTTATTATATACTAAAATATTTTAAGAGAACAAATAAAATAATTAAACTTAGCAAAAAATTGAGTTGGGTTGGGTCTTGACTCATTATCAGAGCCCGTTTTGGCCCAATCCATTTTGAGCTAATCAAATTCAGTTTGGATTCCGTCTTGATCCGTTTGTTATCTTGAGTCTCTTGACCCATTATGATTCACCCAAATTTGATCCAATTTGGTCAATTACCACCCCTAACAATGTCTGAGATTAAAATAGAAGCAAAATCAATGAAACAAATGCACTTATACAAGAAAAACTAATCAAAAACTACCAAATTGTTACCCTATTTTGGAGGAGTCGCGATTTAACAGAGCAAATGAAGAAAAACTTGCTCTTAATTGTGGGATGATGAGAGAGAAACTGTGCAGGTGATCTCCTAGAAATGCCTAATGTTACAACTAAATTGTAGCTAGTCGTGTGTAGGGGTGTGCAAAAACCGAATCGACCGATAAACCGAACCGAAAAAAGTGTTATTGGTTTATTGCTATTGGGTTATTGGGTTAACGGTTCCTTAATGGTTTTATAAAAAAAAATATCGGGTTATCGATTCGGTATTGGTTTTCAATATTGGGTTATTGGGTAAACCGATAACCCATTAAGAGTTAAGACTATAGTAATTTAATACTTTTACATATACATACATATTAATAAATATTAATCTCAATATCTTAATAGTTATGTCTTTGTCATTTAGCCATCAATTCATACTTCACTGTGACTTTGAGTTCACAACTTTACATTATACAAATCGTCAAAACATATAGTAAGAATCATATTCCTCTTTATTTCTCTTTGTGTTACATATGTATAGTTCTTTTTATGTTTGTTATTACTATTTCTATTTTATGAGCTTTTGTAAAGTTACATTATTGTCTTGTCGTG